CCGGGCGCCCCGGGCGCTGCTGCAGGGCCCCGCGGCCGTAGCCGCCGCTGTAGGGCCGGGCAGCCCCGGCCGCGCACCCGCCATACCCGCGGTGCCGCAGCGGAGCCGCGGGCGCAGGCCAGGCAGCCGGGCTGGAGGTCATGCACGGGGGCTCTGCGGCTGCCAGCCGGCCGTTGCTCTCCGGAACTAAAGTGACTTAGTATTATTTTTTAAATTGCTCTAAAGCTGTTCCAGCATTTCGCTTCCCTSTCTGCTGCACAACTGCGTTGTCTTGTGAGGGCTGAAGCTGCCAGGCCTCAGCTGCAGCCCTCAGTTGCACATGCAGCTTTGCAACCYGAAAAGCCTCTTTTCTCTCACCCAGCAAGTCCCCAAGAAACAGTATTTAAGGACTGAGCTGTCCTCCAAACCCCCTTCAGGATCCAGGCATGTTGGGGCAAGCTCTTGATGTAGGACTGTTTTTTTTTCAACCCCCAGATCTTTCTTATGGTTCTCCTTTCATTCCCATGTCCTCCTTGAAACACAAGTGTCAGAGGTGGCTGCAGCTGCTGTCCTGGCAGCGCTCTGTGGAGATGTAAGGTGGCTCCATTCCCAGGTCTCAGGGACACCCCAGCCACATTCCCCATCCTCTGGCTGTACTTTCTGTGCGTTCAGACCCGCTCAGGTGCAGCCCGTTGGCCTGTGACCTGRCAACCTGGGGAGCTAGATCCTTCTGCAACAGCCAGACGTGCTTTGGTCACGGACCTGAAAGCAGGGCTTGGGCAAGCCAACAGCAGGGCTTGACAGGCCCTGCCCTCCATGCTCTGACTGACTGACACTTGTTATATTTTTAGTACTTCTTGGTGGATGTGTTCCCACATTAACCATCCTKTTGTTTCACTGGGCTAAGCACCAGGCTGAGCGCTCTGGCGCGCTCTGCACAAGCCCCATCAGAGCATTAGCTGTGTCCTGCTGAGCTGCCAGCCTCAGGAAGCTCCTTGGCTTTCCAAGGTGTGCTAGGAGCCAGCGCTGGGGCTCAGAGCACGGCTCCTCTGGCTGCCTGTGTGTGACACGTGCAGGGGCCACTGACCTGAAGTCCCTTAGCAGTGTCTGTCTCCTGCACACTGCCCTTGCAGCCACCAAAGCTGTCCAGGAAGGTGGAGTTAGTGATGGGTGACAGCACTGGATGTGGGARGTGTTTGGAGCACGCCACAGAGACAACACTCTTTGCATAAATTGTCATTTAAATGAGTTATCATTTGCTTCCAGCAACAGCCACTGCTGCTGGCTGGGATTTGTTGTACTTGAATACCYGTTACAGCTTTCTGTTTTCCTTGGTTTCCATGGCCTTCCATCTTTCAATCCGGCCAGCAAGCTCATGATGGGCACCCACCTCAGCCAGCTGCCAGCCCAAGCCACGGGCTCTGCAGGACCAGTTGCCTGCTGCAACAGCCAGGGACACAAAAGAGCCATTTCTCCCAGCCAGGACCCTTCGTTCTCCTTTCTTTCCTGCCCCTGATACAGGGAAGCCCAAGGCAGGAGCAGAAGGCCCTAGGTGGTTTTCCAGGTTTCATGTACATGTTTGTGTGTGCACCACAGTCAGCAGAATGCGGTCGGGAGTTGCTCTGTTGCCAGCAAAGAGCCAGATGGAGGGATGGCTCAGGCACAGAAAATGACCTGCGGCTGGTGCCATGTTGCCCGAGTAGGATTGGAGGGTTCCTAGGATAGACAGTGGGCAAGAGTAAAGACTAAGCGGGACAAGCCGCTCCTATTTACAAATCACTGGTACAAATCTAAAATAAAGTCAGTAATTTCAATATGTTCTGACTGTGCTAAGCCCCTGCTCTTGCCCTTCCCTGTTCTTGTCACCAAGCATTTGCTTGTGTAAATTGGTTAATTTTACTGGAATCTCTTTATTTCCTGCATTTTAAACATTTAACACTACACAGGACTGAGACTAAGGAGTTCTAGAACAAGAAACGTCTCATACTTGAGATATACCCGTAACAGAAAATAAATAAGTAAATAAGTAAATAAATAAATAAATAAATAAATGAAGGGAGACCCTATTTTTGGAGTGGCGTGAGAGGGACCAAAACAAGAACAAGACACAGCTATCTGTAGAGTAAGTGATTACGGATGAGAAGGTTTTGGTTTTGTTTGTTTGTTTGTTTGTTTATTTGTTTGTTTTTTGTTTGTTTGTTAGTTGTTGTTGGTGGTTTGTCTTTTTTTTTGTCTTTTTTTTTTTTTTTTTTTTTTTCATGTGTCTGCAGAGCAGGACACACCAGGAGGTGGCAGAGTTGTTGGCAAGGCCAAAAGTACTGCAGATAGTCAAGATGGGAGGAGACAGACTGCAGCAGTGAGGAATTACAAAGCTGATGTTACCAGATGTCTCATAGGTTCTTCTACAAAGCAGGTGCCACCTGTGCCACCCCATGAGATCAAGTGATGGGTTTGCCCGGAAACAAAGCCAGGAGAAGAAAGCACAAGGAGGACTGCAGCCTGGGAGAAACCAGAGCCTGCGTACCAGGATTGCACTGGAGATGTGGTGGCTTTGGAAGAGGAGATCTCTGGGGTAGGCAGGTAGGGACGGTGGAGTGACTCCTGTCAAGTGAGCCATGAGACATCTTCACCCCTCCTACACCTCCACCTCCACCATCCTCTTCCAAGGGCTTTACACAGATGGGGAGAAGATGAGAAAGGAAATGGGTGGTGGACGGAGTAAAGCAGGAGCAGCAGCCTCTCAAGACAGCTGCTTATCGGGCCCAGAGTAGCTCAGGCCACGGGGCACGACAGGTGCTGCCTTCAGGAAGACAGGCACCCACAAAGCCCTAGAGCTAGGCCTGCTGCCATGCCGGAGAACCCTCCGGAGCCACCCAGGYCTGCAGTGGTGAGAGGCTTCTGTGGGTTGATTTAACGGGGTACAGGCTCACTCTTGGGCAGGCCGGAGCCATTTGCCATGTGCAGGAGTCACCTCGCAAGTCCCTGCAGTGCAGGATTACCTTTCCCCACAGTCCTGGCAAGGACAAGGTCTTGTCAAGAGGGAAGAGGGGCAGGTGAGAGCAAGAGGAGCAGAACGCTRCAGGCAAAAGGGAAATAGCTGGGGACCCTTGTGTCCAGGGGAGCTTCTGGGTGCTGGGAAGGTGGAGAGGAGAACCCCCCTCATGCTACACACCCTCACCAGAGGATGTCTGAGAACCCAGAGCACCTCTCCAAGACTCCCTGTGCTTCCCAACATCACACCGAAGCATGGGGCAGGTTGCAGTCGTTTTATTTGGGAGAATGGAGGGGGTGACACACATGGGACAGCAGGGCTGCCAGAGCCAGCCCTRAGCATGGCAGGGGCCAAGTGCCACAGAGCAGGTAGCTAAGCCAGGATCCTTGAACGTTGACCACTGGGATTGAGCAGCGCTGGAGGCACTTGGTAAGGCAGGAGCCACTCTCCTAGGAAATGCAGAGAGACCCAGTGAGGTTCTGCTGTCTCCATCCTCTGAGGTTTGCAAGACCCCCCTGAGAAAATGTGAATTATCTTGTCTAATCCCACAGCTGAGCCTGCTTTGAGAAGGAGGTTTGACTAGATGCATACAAAGGGCCCTTCCAGCCTGAATTACACTGTGACAGATCAGGCTTCAGCCCAGCTCTGTAGTGGCAAGGCAGCCCAGCTCCACCTCCGAGGTTTTGGGTCACAGCTGATAGCCACGAGTTTCCAGCCTCCCAAAAACTCAGGCTCAGTCCTCAGTGGGGCAATCATGTGGAGGCCTTGGTTTGTGGAGAGCATGAGCTATTCATGGTGGTCGGCACTGATGGTCCTGTGGGAAAGGGTGTAGGAGGACTGCTCTGCTTTCCAGCCTGTTTTTCACTATCTCGAGTAGCAGATTTGGGCCAGGCAGTGGAGGCTGTTTCCACATACCTTCTTAGTGCCGAATATCAGAATCTAAGATTTACTACGATTAAAAGGTTACTTTTCTATCCTTAATCTGGTGCTCAGCCTCTCTTCGGGAGACCTGGTTAGGGATCACTTTTAGATTGGTTGTCCCTTTGCCGCAAGGCTCTGTGTGGGAAATCAGAAGGACTTTGGAGGCTTGTTCCAGCGGAAAGATGGGAGATAAAGCTCTGACTCACCTATGCCATCAGCGGGCGACATTCCTCTGAGAAGAAAACAAGGGATGAGACTTATGTGCTTCTTCAGAGAGAAGCCCGACAAGTTGACTCAGAACAGGGCAAAGTTGCCCAGCAGCCACCCAAATGGGTGCTCAGCGCAGCCCCAAATCCGCCATGCACCCTGTAGAGGGGCCTCTCATTCATTAATATTTATTCCTTGTGCCCCATGTACTGGCTATGTCCTGCAGGTGCTGAGCCTTGCACAGCTCAGTGCACCAAGCATCCTGGGGCAGCTCTGCCCTTGCTGCCCGTTTGTGTACTGTGCTCACAGCCGTGCTCATGTGGGCTTCGCATAGCAGTCAAGTGGAGGTGACAAAAGGACACTTTGCCACTCACCACCTCAGCACTGTTACTGTGCTCCATGCGAGCAAGACCTGCGCACAGAGAAGAGTTGTGTCCCAGCTTCAAGGAGGACCCATGGGCAGGGGCCGACAGATTCTCTTACTTTCTTTGGGCAGTATGACCATCTGTTCCTTGGAAAGTCCCACTTGCATTATGGTATCATTGAATTTCTGTAACACGATGGGTTTCACAGAACTGTTTCTGCCTGCAGATGACAGAGAATGAGTCACACAGCTGCTGCCTGCAGCCTGCACCAAAACACTGCCCTGAAAGCTCCTCTGGTGGAACAGGGCTGGCTTGGAAGGGAGGTGACACTGGGAAAACTTAGGGAGTCCCTTGAGGTCCCTGTTCTCTCTCAGCAAGCTCAGGATGCTGCCAGACCAACCATGCAGCATCCATCCTCCAGACACCTCCAGAGTGATAGGGATGTTGACAGCAAACTGCCCTGCAGTTTGTCTGCTTGGAGAAGCTTGGCAGAGGACCTGCCCCAAACATCCTTCTCCTCCCTGTGTTTTACTGCACTTTTATGTGCTTTCTCCAAGACCTACTGTAGAGAAGCAGCACTAAGATCTTCTGCCCATTGTAGACTCGGTGGCCAAAGATGATAGTGTAACTGCTGTAGTCAGTGTCAACCAGGCCACAGTCATCAAGATTTCCCCCTGCAAAAGAAATCAGAGGGTCCCGGGCCCTTGGAAGAGAGAACTCTGTGCCCAAGAGCCGGGAGATTGGAACAGCACCATCAACTCATGCTGGACAGGACTGCAGATATTGTTTCTTACCAGGCTTGTGGGAAGTATTACTTCTTTGCTGCAAGTCATTGCTGAAGTTTGAAGGCTGCAAAAAGCCTGAAGAAAATAATTTCCTTAGTCCATTTATTTCCCTTTGGGAACGATGCTTGCTTTTATCATTGATGGGATCTATGATAAACACTGGGAAGGTGTTTGGAGGACCCCAAAATAAATCTACCCCACCAAGTAAATCTATTCCGCCAGACCTATATCCAACAAAATCACCAGGAGGAAGTTTTGGGTTCCAAAAGTGTATCACAGTGTTTATTGTTATTATTATTAATATTACTTTTAGAGGTTAGGGCCTCTCTGAGGATGCTCCTGGGCAATGTCTTCCCAAATTAACCTACTACTGACCCTCACCAACAACCAGACACACACATAAAGCAGAGCCACCAGACAGCCTCTCCTGGGAAACTCTGGGAAGTGGCCGCTTTGTGTAGCACAAAAAGGGGATATTTGTCCCTCCAGTGGGCACAGGCCCAGGTGGCATCACTTGTGAATCCTGCTCAGCATGTTCAAGGCAGAGACCCTGGAGGATTGGAGCTGGGCTGGGCTCAGGGATGGGAGACACTGCATCTTCTTGGGGTCAAATCTGAAGAGCTCCATTGCCCCAGTGGGAGGTGGGAGTTCATCAGGCTTTGGGGAAGGGGTCACAGGCTTGGTGCTATGAGCTACCACAGCTCTGGAGCACCAGTACACACCACACCCTGCCAGATRGAGGTCAGACACCAGAGTGAGCTCTGAGGCACCAGTTTTATTCATAGAGACTTCCCAAAATGTGTCTGTGTCAGGAGATACCCCAGCAACAGCCATCTCCAGAGCAAGTTCAGGTGAGTCCCCAGGCTAGGCCTCAAGTCTAAATTGCAGCAGGTGGGAGTTTCCTCAGTTGAGGGAAATCTGCCAGCTTTATCCTCAGGTTTATGCAGAGGATGATACAGAAAGTCACTAGCTCGTCATGATCTACTTAGCCTATACAGAAACCCTAGCCTAGACGATGGCCAATAGCGTTCATGCTATGGTTGTGGTTTTCTGTATGTTTGTTTTCTGGGAATGACTTAAATGCTTCTGCTGGGTCAGTTAACAGATCTCTTGTTTCCTCCCTCCTTCTGCCCCAGTACTTACGGGAGTTTATGTATAGACCRGAACGATTACTCTTTTTCAGGACCATTGTCCTCTGCACACAACCTGCAGGGCTGGAGGATACATAATAGTAAAGGCAATTGTACACTAGATGGCAGAGTGCAAAACCTTCAGTTTTCCCTGGGCTCTTGGTTTTGGAGCAGCTCCACTACATTKCCCTTGGCTTCTTCAGAAAGCAAGTCAAGAAGCCATTTGATTGCCATGATCTAAACAGCTTCTGAGGGGAATGGAGCTGAAGCTGGGGCTTGGCCTCTCGCAATTCCAATTAGAAACAAGGCATAATTAGTAGGTGGTTAAAAGGAAGCTGCCAGGGAGTGCTATGTTGTTTTTAAACATCTTCTTATCAAGACTAGTTCAACAACGCAGTCGGGCTGAACATAGAGGAAACTGGGTGGGTTCCTCTAGCCAGCGCTAAGCAAGAGCTCTTCAGGTCTTTGAAGTATGTGAAACCATATCAGACTTCTCCACTGAGAGGAATCTCAGTTGATTTTAGCTTCTTTTCAGATCTGCTTTTAGAATGAGAATTGAAGACAATTTTGCACTTGTAAAGGATATTAAATACAAAGGTTACAAAGGGATTTTTTTTTTGGTCTATTTTCTCTTATTTAGCAATACTTCAGTTGCTGATGCAATCTGATAGTGGATACAAGAGAATAACAGCAAGTCCTTAATAACACTATCCACTTGAAAATGCCTTATAAATCCCTGCAGATGAATTAACCCTCTGAATCCACCTGTAACTGGAAGGAGTAAATCTACCCCACCAGACCTGAGGTTTCCTTGCACAGTTTTGTTCTATGATTGCAAAACTAGTCTGTAATTCATGTGTGAACTAGCGGCGGGAGAAGCTGTTGGAAGGAGGAACTGGGCTCAGAGCTGTGAGTTCTGGTCTCATGTCCTGAAATCCCCAGCCATATGACAGATATTTATTCCCTTGTCTGCACCATTTTTCTACAGCTGGATGGTCATCATTCCAGGCTGGAGAACTCTGCTCCATCCACTCAAAGCAACCTGCCTGTGTTACCAAGATTCAAAGCAATGAATACTCCCAGGACCCATCTGGTTCTTTCTTTCTTTGTTATATAAAGAACTCAAGAGCTACCCAACGTGAAGAGCAAGGAGAAGAACCCTGTGCAAAAGCCACAGTGAGTGGGGAGATTTGCATTGGCACTTACCTAGGGATAAATGTATTGATGATTATTTTGCTGGTACTTTGAGGTTCCACAGTGCTCATAGACATCCTCCCATTCTTCCGAAGGTGTTCAATCCAGTCGGAGTCAGTAGCTATGGCGATGGTGCGCCACTTCCCAGCRATCTAAAGAGAATGCCTCTGCATTAATCAATACAGAAAATGATGAGATTTTCAGGTCTAAAGCAGGAACTCCGTTACTCCCTTCTCTGTTTAGGCTTCTAATTGGGTAGAAAAGCACCATTTCTCCAAGGTAGAGCAGGGATCTGCCGTAAAAATATAGCCACAGGTAAAATTCATCCACTTGGACAAACCGAGTATGCAAGTATGCTGCAACCCTCACTAGTGTGCTAAATATCCTACTAGAGTGTTCAGACATTCAAATGCCTTTCTATTAAATTCTGGAAAGTGTGAGAGAATTTAACTTCCAGCAGGAACTGTAGTCCTTTGAAAAGTACTCCAGTAACTAAGTTTTGTCTGACCTTTGATCGCTCGTGAAGCGATTGTCCAAGCAGTACATCATCCCCATATATCCTCCCCATCTCCACCAAAGGAAGATTCCCTCACATAACATTACCTTTTCTGCATCAAAATTTTCTTTCAAAATGATTTTGGACTGGACCTGAAGTCCCAGGAGCAGTGTCAAATCCAGGAGCACTAAAACTACCTTCATCTTCACGGCTGGTCCCTCTCACTGCTTCCCCACCGCCTGGCACAAACGAACGCTCTTGCAACACTCACAAGAGATACGAGGTCTGCAGGGACCTCCAAGCTTATACCCCTGTGCACAGGTCCTTGGAGGCAGCAGAGCAAGCCCTCCTCCGTCTCCCTTGTCCATTTATGTGACGGCTAGTCTCGATGGAGAGATAACACCATTAGTTCTGGCCTCACCTGAATTAATTAGTGTTTATTTATGTGTGCACCTGAACAATATGTACCTACTGAGGCCTGGGACAAAACGATCCCCTCAGGTGCTTAAGAGGGGACAGAAAGAGGAGGGATGAGAAATTCTCTATCAGCAGCAGCTCTGCTGATATTTTCTTTGGGATTAGCATAACAGGCACCAGAGAATGACGTAGAGCCCAGAACAACACCCTTGTGGTCTCTTGTCTTGGTTTTCCCTGGAGCCATCATGGATTTTTCCCTGGTCTAGGTCCAGAATCTGCTTCCCTGGCATTCCCGCCCTGCAGAGCCCTTTCTGGAGCTGTCTTTAGCCCCTCAAGTCTGAGTATCAATTCACCAAACCTCCTGCTTTTACCCCCTAAAACATCTGACTTTTTTGTTGCAATGCTGAGCATATGAGCCCCCAATTTCCCTAGGAAACTAGGCAAAGTACAGTGACTTGGAGAACTAACATGCCACTAAGTTTGTCTGAGTGTTTTGATCTTTCCAAGTCTGACTCCAGCATTTTCAGACAGTGTCATCTATGTATATTTATAAGAAACAGCATTAGACCAGGAGGACAGTCTGATTAAGAGAATGTGTATTGCGAAGAAGAAGCATTATTTTAGGGGACAAGACTGTTACTTGAAGACATGACTCTCCTATGCAAATCACCATTATTTCATTCACAGTTTCAAGCAAACTGCTAGGCAGGAGGTAAAGTGAACTTCCCAGGTCATCAAACTCAATCTCAGAAATATGTTCTGTTTTATGCTATTCATGGGACCTAGGTGCATTTTATTAAAATTGCACCAGTAGTTCGGCATCTTTAACAGAAAAAAAAAAAAAAAAAGTAAAAGGTAGAAGAGCAGGAGGTTTGTGTTTTTCTGAGCTTCACRGTTGTTTGGCCTGCGGGGGCTACACAGCATACAGTATCCAAGATCCATCTTCTCCAGGAGACATCTTCACCCACAGGGATACATTTTCCTTAATCCTATCTTTGCTAAAAAAGTAATGAATAAAATTTGTTATGTTTAGCTGGCATATATAATTTGGTCTAAAACTATAGCATGCACTCCACACCTATTCTGTCTTTCACCACCTTTATTGACATTGCTGTCTGTTCTCACCATTCTGGCTGAGGTACTTCCAGCCGGTGAGAGCAGAACACTTCTTCCACCAAGCCACAGTGCGCACATTTTAGATTCTTCTTTCTCGTCTATCAAAAATCTATGAGGCACTGTGGAGGCCTGTGGCAAGTGGTGTCCCCCACTCTGGAGGGCTGCGCTTCCAGTCAGAGGGACCTGGACAGGTTGGAGAGTTGGGCAGMGGGGAACTTCTTGAGGTTCAACAAGGACAAGTGCGGGGCCCTACACCTGGCCAGGAATAACCCCAGGCACCAGCACAGATTASGAGCTGACCTGCTGGAAAGCAGCTCTGAGGAGAAGGACCTSGGAGTCTGGTTGACACCAGGTTAACCATGAGGCAGCAGAGCCCTCGTGGCCGAGAAGGCCAATGGGCTCCTGGCTGCATCGGGAGGATGTTGCATCAGGTCAAGGGAGGGGATCCTGCCCCTCTACTCAGCTCTGGTGAAGCCGCATCTAGAATATTGGGTTCAGTTCTGGGCTCCCCAGGACAAGAGGGACAAGGAGCTTCTACAGAGAGTYCAGCAGAGAGGGACAAAGATGATGAAGGGACTGGAGCATCTATCATATGAGGAAAGACTAAGCGAGCTGAGCCTGTTTAGCCTAGAGAAGAGAAGACTGAGAGGAGGTCTTATGAGCATGTGCAAATACCTGTGGAGAGAATGTGAAGAGGATGGGCCAAACTCTTCTCAGTGGTGACCAGCGACAGGGCAAGGGCTAATGGGTACRAATTACACAGGAGGTTTCATATACACATGAGGAAGAACTTTGTTCCTGTGAGGGTAACAGAGCCCTGAACCGGCTGCCCAGACTGTGGACACTCCTTCTCTGGAGATCTTCCAAACCTGTCTGGATGCCACCTTGTGCCACATGCTCTGGGTGTCCCTGCTGGAGCAGTGGGGTTGGACTAGATGATCTCTAGAAGTCCCTTCCAACCTCAACCATTATGTGATTTTGTGGTTCTGGAATAAGTGGGATACATGGTCCTTTTATCTCAAGTGATTCTGCTATTCTGTATGGGCAGTTCCATTTGTCCATGTGTTAGTGTATTCCTACCCATTGGAAACTTAGGTTAATGAAGATAAACAAACAACATATGCAGAACTTGTGGTGCCTGACTCCTTCTCTGCCACAAATGCTCTCTCATCTATGTTTYTTTTTTTTTTTTTTACCTGTCAACTTGAGAGGTTCATACCAAATATTAGAGAAGCTACAATTGGCAGGAATAGTCATGAAATCAGATTCTTCAATGTTGGCAGCAATAAGCTCACTCTACCTTGGAGATTGAATATGGAAAGGAATGTGGAATTCCTGTTTTATTTCCAAAAAAAGTAGATGACATTGTAGCTGTCCTGCAAATTGGGTTCTATAATCAGCTTGAGCCTTGTAAGTCAGCTCTGGGAGTATGCATGTCACATTCTCACTGAAACTGGATAATACATTTTGTATTCTTAATGGGAAAGTCTTGATTCCAGTGGAGAGAAGATTTATTCTAATCAAAGGAAAGCTATTCCCATAATTTCTGCTAAATAGGAAAGTCTTGCAGACTCTAATTTGTAAAGAAATCACTAGCCAGAATTCAGCTGAGGTCTAAGAAGGACATTTTTCAGTCCCAGTAAGTGTATCTTATTGCACAATTTAAGCRGTAGTCACAGTGTTCTTTTACATCATTTTATTTATGACCACAAGCTAACCCCTTCTCATCTCTTCGTAGTGCCAAAAGCCCCTGTGAAATCCTCCAGAAAGTACGTCATGAACCAGATTAATATGGTCTCTTCAGGCCTGTGCAGGTACCACCCACACTGGCGCCTTATTGCCACCATTATGCTCAAGGCAACAGCTGTCCATTCCCAGGATTAACTCTGTTTCCTGAAACTACAAAGATCAATCCCCTAACAATGGTTTTCCTGCTTATACATATTTTATTGCATTAAGAGAATGACATCTGGCTCTGCAGTGTCTGCAGCTAAAGCCCAGATAAGATTATTCACCACTTAACAGAAGATGCTTATAGAGCATTACTGCTGGACTTTGCACAGCATTTCATATCAGAAAGGGCTTTGCTTAGAAACAGTGTTCTTTCCAGGGAGCTTAACAAAAGCCTGATGCTGATAAATGATTAAAATCGTAAGACTTAGCTAGGGCATTGCTGTTATGGGATCATTCAGTACAATTTTTCTCCCTGGAAATACCTGTTTCTTATGAAAAAAGTTCCCCCAATTATTCCTTAGGAAAACCTCTGTGGCCAGCACCTATTAATTTTACAAAACTCCCTATATTCATCTCTCTAGAGGATGTTATGTRTCATCCTCCTGCTTGGCAAAGGTGTGCTGGTCCAAGAGGGTGTAGATATCTGCARTACCTCACACCAGAAGGATGCTAGTTGGCTTTTGTGATCAGATGAAAAGCAGAGGATCTGCCCTAGACTGCATTTGGGCCTTTTGATCTTTCGGGCCTGTCTAAAGCTCACAGTGGGTGCTGGAGTTAGCTGTGCTAGGGCCTAGCAGACACAAAGGGAAACAAGGCAAAATAAACAGGCACTGAAATGATGCTGTAGATTAGACACCCTGTCTCTGGGTTTCCATTAAGCAAATAAAGGGCCTGAACATCCCACACATTGATTAGAGAGATCAAGGAGCCACAGCTTGTGCCCTGTGCCCCAGAAATGCAGGGCCCAAGTCACCTGGACCCTGAGGGGAGCCTCAAGGTCACTTCTGTACCCAAATATACCTGTATCCTGACACGATGAGGGTAACGGTAACTCAGCAGTGACACCTTTGCTGTTGGTCTGTAGCTGCCAGGTACCTAAGCAGAGACTCTCTGTTTCAGTGCCCTCCTGTGCAGGGCCTTCCTGATGGCCCCTTTGACTTTGCTGTTCCTCAAGCTGTAGATGACAGGGTTCATCATGGGGGTTACAACAGCGTATAGCAGGGCAAGGACCTCATGTATGTCCTTGGAAAGGCTGGAATGAGGTATTAAGTATGAGATGGCCCCAGCGCCAAAGAACAGGGATACCACAGTCAGATGAGAGGTGCAGGTAGCAAAGGCCTTCTGCCTTCCTGCTCCCCTCAGAAGGACAGCCCAGATGATGTGAATATACGACACAAGAATAAGGAGGAAAGATCCCATTGCAATAGTCCCAGCCAAAGCATRTGACACAAGCTTATTGAGGTGAGTGCTAGGGCTGCAGGATGCCTTCAGCAGGAAGGGCACCTCACAGAACAAGTGGTCGATCACATTGGATCCACAAAAGGGTAAGTTGGCTATGATGAAGGCTTGGATCAGAGAAGAGAATGAGCCACTCAACCATGAAATAACCACTAAGCAAAAGCAAATCTTCTTGTTCATGAGTGTTGTGTAGTGGAGGGGGTGGCAGATGGCCAGATACCGATCATAGGCCATGGCAGCTAAGAGCACACACTCAGAACCGCCAAAGCAAAGAAAAAAATAGATCTGTGTAAYGCAGCCCACAAAGGAAATGGTCTTCTGTGGTGAGAAGGTGTCCTTGAGGATCTTAGGAAGGGTGACAGAGGAGTAGCAGATGTCCAGGAAGGAGAGGTGGCCCAAGAAGTAATACATGGGTGAATGCAGGTGACTATTCAAGCAGATGAGGGTCATTATGAGGAGATTTCCCAGCAGAGTCACC